AAAGTGATCATCAGTAGAGATGTTATCTTTGTAGAAGATAAACTACAAAGAAAGGAAGACGATGAAAGCGCTGAAAAGTCAAAGACTACTCAGATACATGTGGAAAAAGAGTTTGAACAAGGAGATTCTTCTGAAGCAGAACCAGCACATGATGAACAAGAACCAGAGAGTTCTGAAGCTCCAACAACTCGTCAATCAGATCGTGTGAGAAGACGTCCCAATTGGCACTCAGATTATGTTATAGAAGGTAATATTGCATATTGCCTTTTAACAGAGGACGATGGCCATCAACATACCGGGAGGCAATAAACAACTCAGATGCTTCACTGTGGATGATGGCGATGCAAGAAGAAATTGAAGCCCTTCATAAAAATAATACATGGGACCTTGTGCCACTACCACAAGGAAGGAAGCCAATTGGTAATAAATGGGTCTTCAAAATTACGCGAAATGGTGACGATCAAGTGGAGAGGTATCGTGCAAGACTGGTGGTCAAAGGATATGCTCAAAAAGAAGGTATTGATTTCAATGAAATTTTTTCTCCTGTGGTTCGACTAACAACAGTTAGAGTAGTCTTGGCAATGTGTGCTACATTAAACTTACATCTAGAGCAGCTAGATGTTAAAACAGCTTTTCTTCATGGAAATCTTGAAGAAGAGATTTATATACTCCAGCCTGAAGGTTTTGAAAAAGAAGAAAAGAAGAACTTGGTTTGTAGGTTGAACAAATCTATGTACGGTCTAAAGAAGGCACCGAGGTGTTGGTATAAGAGATTTGATTCCTTCATTATGTTCCTTGGATACAACAGACTTAATGCAGACCCTTGTGCTTATTTCAAGAGGTTTGATGATAACGATTTTGTTATATTGCTGTTGTATGTGGATGACATGTTGGTTGCAGGACCCAACAAAGATCATATTGAACAATTGAAGGCACAACTGGCTAGGGAATTTGAAATGAAGGACTTGGGATCAGCAAACAAGACTCTCGGGATGCAAATTCACTGAGACAGAAGTAATAGGAAGATTTGGCTTTCACAAAAGAATTACTTGAAGAAAATCTTGTCACGATTTAGCATGCAAGATTGTAAGCCAATTTCTACCCCTCTTCCTATTAACTTCAAATTATCCTCCAGTATGAATCCTAGCAATGAAGAAGAGAGGATGGAGATGTCTCGAGTACCGTATGCATCAGCAGTGGGAAGCTTAATGTTCGCTATGATATGCACAAGACCAGACATTGCACAAGCAGTGGGAGTGGTTAGTCGGTACATGGCAAATCCAGGCAAAGAGCATTGGAATACAGTAAAGAGGATCCTGAGATACATCAAAGGGATCTCAAATGTTGCATTATGTTACAGAGGATCAAACTTACTTATCAATGGGTATGTTGATTCTGACTATGCAGGGGATTTGGATAAAAGCAAATCTACTACAGGATATGTGTTCAAAGTTGCTGGTGGAGCTGTAAGCTGGGTTTCAAAATTGCAGTCAGTTGTGGCTACATCCACAATAGAAGCAGAATATGTAGCAGCTACACAAGCCAGTAAAGAAACAATTTGGTTGAAGATGCTATTGGAGGAGCTTGGGCACAATCAAGAGTATGTCTCTCTGTTTTGTGACAGTCAAAGCGCCTTGCATCTAGCAAGGAATTCATCATTTCATTCAAGGACAAAACACATACGAGTTCAGTACCACTTCATTCGTGAAAAGGTGGAAGAAGGGACAATAGATATGCAGAAGATCCATACCAAAGACAACGTAGCAGATTTCATGACGAAAGTGATCAACGCTGATAAATTTATGTGGTGTTGATTCTCCTGTGGCCTGTCAGAAACGTAAGCAACATGAAGGTACAAGGTAGAAAGAATGGTGTGAAGATATGATTGTTCAAATCAAATCTTCAAGTGGGAGATTGTTGAAAAGTCAAAGCATTAAATGGGACGGCATGGGGCAGCTGAATTTGATTCAAAGTTTGCTGCCAAATTGTTGAAAAATTATGGTGTAATTGTCAAACAAAATTATTACGACAGTTTTTGTTGAAAACAAAAATGATAAAATCACAAACTTTAGTCCCTAGACTTTAGGGTATTTATAAGATTAGTCCTTAAGTTTCAACTATAAATACCCTAGCTCATTTAGCTTCAAGATCATCCCAAAGCATTCTAGCTTTCTTCCAATACTAGAGAGATTTTAGAGAGTTTCTTAAGAGTTGTTTTCTCCATTTTATCTAGAGAGAATTATCATTGTTTTCTCCTTGGTAGATCGAGAGAGATTGTAATTCCTATTTTCTCATAGTGAAATTCTTCTACCGTTGCCCGTGGTTTTTACCCTAAATTTTTAGGGGTTTTCCACGTAAATTTTGTGTCTCTTTTATCTTCATTTTTATTTTTTCAAATTATCAGTTGCGATTTTGCTCTATCCGATAGCCGTCTTCCGCAACACTAGCTTGCTCAGCCTTTCCACCAGGGGAAGTATTTTGCTGGCTTTGCAAAGAAGCTCAAGGGATCAGATTAATGATATTTCAGCTATCAAATTACTATATTTCAGCTTTATAGACATGTGTTCGTTTGCTTGTACCATGTTCATGTTACTTGCTCGACATCTCGGTTTCCATAGAATAAAATATGAGCTTGATTGGGGATAGATTTGTTGTCACAAACTTGCATCGTTTCTTCAAAGAATAAATCAGTGGACGTAAAATGTACCAACTCATAATTTGTTGAACTTTTCAAACTTGTAAAAGAAGATAACAAATGTTTGAGTTTCACTTTGAATAGGCAAATAAGAAAAAGGTGATATATTGATCATCATCATATACTTTATTAACATACAGAATAGTGATGCTTTAATGCTTTTTCCTTTGCAGTATTCTATTTTACGTTCCTGTCTTTGCATAATTAATAGCCATCAACAGATCAATTCAAAACCACTCAAATAAAAAAGAAAAAGAAAGCTGGCGTCAAGACAATATATCAACCAAGAATATAACAGTTTTTTATTAAGAATATAACAATTTAAAAGTAGTTTATTTTAATTAAAAATGAGAAATTCGTGATTAGTCACTTGCCACAGGCGACTCTTCTGTCTTAAGCTTCCTTGGATACTTGAAATGCTAACCCCCTTAATATGTTCTCTATGATATTTATTATTATTATTATTGTTTCTCTTTCACGTTACCTAATAAACTTGCCTAATATCTTGTGATTAGATAGAGGAACTAATCACATGTTATTCTCCACGGATGTTTAATCGGTCAGTTATGTTAATCAATCGAATCGAACTACTTAAAATTCATTAACTAATTTTTTTTAACTATTAATTAACCGATTTTTTTCAAAAAAAAATATTTAATCGAACTGAACAAAGTTCGATTACTTCGGTCGGTTAACTAAATTAATCGAAATCTTTTGTTAGACTAATTTGAGTTTATTAGAGGTATTTTTTCCTTCACATAGGTTAAATTTTGATTGGGTATTGAAAATTTAATAGGTCTAGTGTGCTTAAAAACTTGTTAGATATTAATTCTTAAAGAGTTTTAACTTAAGATATATATGTAATATATATAATATTAAACATTTAATGATTTTGATTAATTAATCAATTTTAAAATTGAATTAATCAATAAATGAACTTCAAAGAATTTCTTAATCATTAATCAAATTAATCGATTAATAAACCGAATTAAATTTTGATTCAATCAGTTAATTCAGTTAAAACCGAACAATGAATACACCTACATTCTCCTATAATCAAGATGGATTAAAGAACGGTGGATGATAATCATTTTTAAAGATTTTAAATTATTATATAGAGTAAATAGTTCTTTTATATTTTTATTAACAATCGAATTTTACATTATTTAACATTTTACAACTTTATACCTTAATTTTTCAATATAATCTATTAAAAATTATACCGCGACATAAATTATTGTGATATGTCATGTCCAATGGTCAATAGTGAAGTGCAACAAAGTTAATGAAATCGAAAGTTCTACATGATTGCTCTAATATCAATGAGATTTCTTTTATATTATATTCTCTAATATTGAATACTACATATTCGCTATATATTATATTCAGCTTAACCGAATATGTTGGAGAAAGAAATTGTCCAGGAGAATTCCCTTTGCCCCACATGTCTTTATTAACTTTTAATACCACTGATTTAAGAAAAGTAAGTTTTATTTCCTTAAACATCAAAATCATTGATTTGAACAAACATCTGTGTACAATAATTATTTAACTTAATTTGATAATCAAAACAAAGCAGCCACTTGTGCAATTAGGAAATATTTCCATTTTTTTTTCTAAAGTTGAATCTATGAAAGTGCTCAAAAGAGTATCGTTATTGTTGCCTTATGTTTGCTTCCATTGATGTAGGGACAAAGTTGATGAAATTCCACGTTACAGCTGACGAAGTATTATGCTAGAAAACAGTGGTGTTATAGTAAATAATATTAAAAAAATTACATAATCTTCTTTTATTTATGTGATAAGTACAATGCAATAAAATTCTTTACGACGGCGGCTATTTAATTCGTGTAAAATACTGCATAATTGAACTTAAGAAGTGGTTCGAGAGATAATATGTAGTATGCTTTTTAAATGATTTGAATTTAAGTAGTGTTATTACCCTATGATTACATCAAGAAAAATAAATAATATTAGTCAACTTGATTGTTTTTTTTTCTTCCCACCAAAATAATGAAAACCCCTAAAAGCAGGAACAGTGGGGCGCCGTCTGACTTGCCGCTACTTCATTCCAAACAATATTTATAATAAAAAGAAATCAAAAGCTGAAGTACCCATGAAACGAGCTCCACTCATTCCTGCTCTTCAATAACAACAAAATTCAAATATAATAATAATAATATAATCGCTATATTCATCGTTGATGATGACAAAATGGGTGACCTACAGATTCAACAGGAACAAAATAAAGAGGCTCTTATAAACCCCCACTTCTACTAACTTCAGCTACTAATATCAACAAACATATATAATTTAATACTACAAATAAGTTAAAATTCATGTTGATTTTCGCTGAATTTAGCACTTGTTCCTGTGGCTAATCACCTCCAAACTATAATTAACATGTAAAAAAACTTGGATTATTGAAAGAAAAAAGAGGGAAAAGCCTATGGCTATATTCCTTTTTTTAGAGGGTTGGGTTCCTAATCATTTTCTAGCCCTACATTCTATCATTCCTGCTTTGTAGCAGCTGACCATATGCTTTTGTTTGTGCCCTTTCTCTTTTGTTTATGTCCGGAGATGATTTACCTGAAAGTTGCACCGAACGTCGGCATCCAAAAATCGACCGGGCTCTCAGCGGCGACAGGGAATGTGCTTGACACCGGCACTAAACAAAGCTCCCGGCTTCTTAGGTCTTTCAACTTGTCACTACTCTGCAAGACAAAAGAGACAAGTTCATTATTAATTGTATTAGTACTAATGGTAGTTATTACCGGCCTGAAAAAAGAATAGCATTTATCATTCAGTCTTTTTCATTTTTATTACCTGTTGTTGTATGGGAGCTGCTGCTTGTTTCATATATGGAGTACTTAATACCTGAAATCACGTAAAAATAGCATCATTTCAGTTTAAATTTCATCATGCATGTGTTCTGTTCGGATTTAAAGTTTAGGGTTTAGTTCATATTTATGATTGTAATAACTCGAACAGTATTAATCGTGAGAAATAGGTAGAGGAACATACAATGACTTGATCATGGAGTAACTTGATGTATTCAATGGCTTCATGTAGAACTGATGCAGTATCAGTCTGCAAAAAAAATGGTAAAGCTTTCAATTATGTACTTTGAAGATATCAAAAGGTAAAAAAAATCCAAAATTTTACCTTTCCGAAAGGTGAAACCAATTGCTGCAGGGCAGTGATTCGGTCCCCTAGCTTCTCTTTCCTAACCTGATCATGAAAATTTACTGTAATTTATAATTGATTTCTTTGAATAATTTATCACTAGCTTTAATGTAGGACAAATTTATACAGTAGTATACCTTAAAAGTTGGTAATGGCGATGGAGTTTCAAGTCTTGGCCTTTTCAATGGAGTTTCAGTACTGCTTCCTTTCTTCATCACTGACCCCGAATTTTTCCGATTCCGAACTCCGTCGATGTTGGTCTGTAAAAACCAATTCATGTCATCCAGGGTAACCCTAGCTGTGATGTGTATCTAAATGCATGAACAGAAAGAAGTTTCAGAGGGTTATTAGGTTTACCTCTGTCGTCAGGCTGGAGCAATTAGGTTTCTCTTCGAACGGCGGCGACGGAGAAAAGCCGGGTTTAACGTCGTTTACGCCGGTCGCAGTTGAAGAGGAGTTCCAAAAGGATGTGTTGTTGGAGAACTGCAAGTTACCTGCAGGCTGCTTTGTCAATGGCGGCGGCCTTATGGAAGGAGCACCGTAAGCGGCGGCGGAAGGCATATAGTTGATTGACTGGTTGTTGAAAAGTGATTGTTGTTGGGGTACTTTCCGATCAGCTTCGAACGGAGTTTGTGTCAGTGTTGATGGACAGTCATATGAGGCTGAACCCATTGCAAACCCAGCTGATAATCCTTGGCAACTGTTAATGGAAGAATCTTCACTGGAACTCAACCTTGAACCGATAAAACAAAATTCAACTTCAACGACGACAGGTTCATGTTTAATCATCATAAAGATATCAAAATCAATTTAACTTACAGCAAAGACTGGTTCCAGTCCGATGTTGTGGACGATGAAAAGCCGAAACCCATCATTTGTAAGGTGGAATCAATCAAAACACTGCTGTCACCATTACGATCGGAATCCGCCTGCAGCTGATCAGGCTTATGATAGAAAACTGAATCGTTGGACCTCGCCTTGATATCCGCCGTATCAGTGCCCCATCCGAAGCTTCCGATATCAGCAATCCCCGTCGCATACAGCGGAGAATTACACCCTGTAAACATGGTTTTCGTCGGATTCCACCATATTTCTCGACAAATCCCTGCATGAAATTCTTCTGCCATGATCGGAATTGTTCTTGGCTTGAGTGGGAGCTCTTTCCTTGTGAGATTAACGTTATTGGTATATGTAATGGATTACAGGTGTAGCGGAGATATATGTAATTTATATATATATGGACAAATAGAACAGAATATCTGTATATATGCATCTAGAATTTATTTTAATTGATTTTTATGAAATAATACTTAGTAAATTAAAATAAAATATTAGCACAGATTGTGACAATTTTTTTATATAAAAGTTATTGGTGTAGGTTGATCGATGAAGATACTATTAATTGGATCTGACAACCATGTCAGTGTTTTTGACTTGATGGTTTGTTTAATCGGACAGTTGATATTTTATTGAATATAAAAAAATGTTTTCCTAAACCTGAAATTTACGGATCACCACCGGAACTTGACGGTTTTAACCCATTTTTTTTTGTTTGAATATGTAAATATGTATTCTTTTGTTTTTATGTATATATTGTAGTCTTTCATTTATAAGTTCTCTAATTTTTAAAGTTGGATTTATTGTCGTTCCTCCTATTAATATTAATTTTAAAATTTTAAATTAATTATTTTAAAATAATATCTATTAATAATATTTTTAACTATTGATGATACATACATTCACAAATACAATTATTCCAACTCAATAACTTTAAGAAAAAAACCTTTTAATTATTAAAATAATTTGATATATACTAACAGCTACTTTAAATATTCCATGCTTAAATTATTATAATGTGAGAGAGCTATTAAAGTGTTATCATATTCTAATATTTTCATTGAAGAAACTTTTGTCAGTATTGATTATGCTTATTCTTTATTGTCGACATGAGTATTATTTGTACCATTATTTTCTCGAATTGTTTTGTTGGATTTTTTGACTTCTCTCTTTATATGGTTATATTTATTAAGATGATAAATTGATTTGAATCTGACGGGTTTTAGTTTGATCAAAATTAATAAGGTTGATTTTTAATAATTTGGGTTCAAATAATTTTGTAAAGGGTGAGATCAGATCAGAATTAGTTCAAGATAAAAAATTTCTAACTCGATCTGAGATAAAAATATAATTTTTCATATATTTAAATATAATTACGATAATACTTTTTTATGATATTTTTCTAATTAAGTTTATATTTTATTGAGTAAAAATAAATTATATTTTTTTACATGGGGTAAGGCATATGTATTTTTTTATAATTTAAATTTCATGCCGAATAAAATTTCTTTAAATTTGAATTAAATTCATGTAGAGAGGATATTTTCTTTAAATCAAGTTGGATTGATAAAAATTTAATTTAATCTAACCCATAATCATACCTATTGTTTATATACAAAATGAATTATGTTTCTATATAGGGATAGACTGAGGGATCCTGGGATGCAACCGCTCCCTTTAGAAATTAAAATTATTTTGTATTTTAGATAAATTTAAATATTTTATATGAAATATTTAATTTCGCACTCCATGAGATCTTATAGTCTCATACCTTCTAAGGTTTTAATATAATATTTTATATTCACAGCACTATCACAAATTCATGTGTCTGTCTTTGTTTCTATATTAATGGATTGAGTTGAAAGCATGTCATAATTATGATGAGATATTAGAGAATAAATATAAATAATAATAAAAATATGTAAAAATTTAAAAATTGTAATGTAAATATAATTTTCTTATTTTATAGTTTTTATTAAAAAGGGAAATCCATAAATATAAAAAGAAAAGAGATAATGTTTCATGAATAAAAAAGGCGAAAATGGAATTGACTTCAAACGAAGGCGGATTGCCAAACCAAAACGCCGCCTAATATGTTTTTTTCCTATTCTTTTTTTCTTCTATTCAAATAAAGAAATTTTGTGAAAATATGGAAAGTCAACTACCTAAAGTGAACGCTTATTTTCTTTTCGATAAATGTAGGTTTCAGAAAATAAAAATGAGAAAATTCAATATTAAATAAAAATAATTTTTTAAGAATGTCTAAATTAATAATAGAAGTAATTAGTCCAAATTATTTTTTTTTTATTAAAAATAGAATAAGATAAAAAAAATTAATGATTGATTGAATTTTTTAGGTGATAATAGAGCCGACTCTAAGAGGAACACCCTAAGCAATAGCGGTGTGAAAACTACCCGACCCAGTTGACCTGACCCGTCGATCCGGACCTAAAAAAATCGGTTAATTTTCTAAAAAAATTACCCTGCAGGGTCGGGTACCCAATCTGACATTTCCCAGGTCGGGCCCGAGTCACAATATAATGAATTTTTTATATTAAGGATCATTAGATTTTGTATTTCGAACTTTTAAATTTTATGTTCGGATGCTGGAGTATGTAATTCGAAGTTTCGAACATTTAAATTTGTGTATATATTTTTTAAAATTAATAATTTGAAAATGAAAAAAAAAACCGGGTACCAAGTACCCGAAATACGAGAACCCATAAAATCCGGGTATAAGATCGATAAAACAATTTATAAAACCAGGGCTCCATAACACATAATTTAAAATCGAAATAATACAAACTCTGAGTTTAATAAAATTTATACATAAGTATGGTACTATGAATAAATATGCTTGCTAAGCTACGATACATTACAGTACTTTGAAGGAGATGCAAGAAGTCCTCCTGTGACGGTGCTCCACGAAATGCTCGTGCTACTAGCCTGCCAACATAAAACATTCGAAGACTGGGCTTACAAAGCCCAGCAGTATAATCGCTAATCCAGAGCAACATAAGAATTTCATAACCCAATCATGCTGAAGACGTGGCACTAAGTTGTGGGCACATGTATGTTATAGATCAAGTGTTACCTACTTAAGGCTTAGGTGTTTTAACACTGGGATAGGGTTTTTAACCTTAACGACTACAACTGCAACTTATTATCTAAATGCAACACTAACACTCATGTGCATTATCTGAATGTAAACCTGCATATACTATGCATTACCTGAATGCAAAATTGACTCTGTTGTGCCTCATACACTAGATGTGGCAGACATCATAGTGCGACGGAGGGATCTTGTCATCTCGGGGATCACACCCCTCTAACCTACCACTAATGCTAATATATGACACACAACTCCTAATCTGCTACTGTGGTAGGCATCATGGTACCAGCAGAGGGATCTTGACATCTCGGAGCTTACACCCCTCTTGTAACACCCCAACCCGTATCCGACCCGGATACGAGTCCGAGATGTCACATTGACATTTCAAAACCTTTATTCTTGCAAAATAATAGAACATTTGAACTCTTTTTAAGAAAATACGATAATATATTGTTAAATCATGTTTCTTATAACCAATTTAAGAAAATATACGTTTTATAAACAGTAAAATACGATATGAACAATACCGTATAAACAGTAATGAACAATACCGTGAACAGTACCCGAATGTTAAAATTTTCCAAAATGTCAGAGGGGAACCGATTCCCCTGCTACAGTACTTTCGTAAAATACGTATAACTTCATAAAAACCTAATTTTTCATCCGTATAAAATTACCATTTACATATACACATTCAAAACATTACAAAACTCAATCATATGAATTTACAAAATCGATTAAAACATATCGGGATTCGAATCTTTGTTTGCTTGCCAACCATTATGAGTATTATAAAATACATACTATTAACTTCTTTTCTGATCTGATATTTGGAAAGGAGGAACTGACCTGTCTTGTATAACTTTTATCAATCTTCCTCTTCTCAAAACCTACGCGTGAAACAATCACACGCTAAGTCGTTGACTTAGTGAGGCATATAAAACATATTATATAACCATATAACATTTCATATAAACAAAAGGTATGCATATGCCAATACTATCATTAATCCATTTTACTTACCATATATTCATCATATAACACATATATCACTATACCAAGAAATAAACATATTATCATGTAATTTCTATAACATATTTCATATTACCAATACACATATCATATATAATGTATTTGTTATCATCTCATTTTAATCCATGTACACATGTCACTAATTCTTTTTATCATATAACATATACTAAACATTTTTATACAGATCATGGAATACATATATCATTTTCACAACAGAGCATATATAATATCATATCAATTGATTTATTTACTCTCTTTAAAGACCATGTATTAGCCCATGTATACTTTTGAGAACTTAAGGTATGTGAGTACATTGAGGTTGTGCACCACTATGCTGTCACCACAACTCGTATAAATGTCCCGAAGGACTAGTTCATAGATTCCGAAGAACCTCGGTAATCAGTCCATATGTCCCGAAGAACATAGGTAAACAGTCTATATGTCCCAAAGAACATATGTAAACAATCTATATGTCCCGAAGAACATAGGTAAACAGTCCATATGTCCCGAAGAACATAGGTAAACAATCCATATGTCCCAAAGAACATAGGTAAATCCTCGACCCTTGGCATGTCAACTATACCCATAGCTCTCATTTCACATAACATGGGCATTATCATTTACAACAGTTCACATTACTTAATCATATCATTTCTCTTATAAACACATATCTTTTCTTTTCAGTCATGTATCGCATGTACGTGTAATCATTGATCTTATAATCACATGTTCCTTCTCTTCTGTCACATACCACATGTATGTGTAAACATATATCTAATATCATATAACATGTATCACAAGTGCATGTAATCACATATTACATATAATCACGTAAATCGTTTCATATGATTTATATCATTTCACATGTAGTCACATAAACATATATATCATATCTCGTTCACATATAATTTCCCATATAAATCATATCATTTGATTCATATCTTATTCTTATATCATCATATATATGTCATCTATATTCATTCACTTAATCTCATATATTCACATATACATTCACATCACATATTCATATAAGCTTATGTATCTCATAGTTCTTTCACATGGCTTACTATCACATTTTTATATCATACATCTTATAATATATTCTTATATCATAACTTGTTTCCTTTATACCTATTCACAATCACATTAACAAGTACTCACACATATCATTTAACATATACACTCGTAACTCTTTATTTCATATCAT